TAAATGTTTTTTGGGATGTTTTAAATTTAACGAAGGCTACCTTTCTCATTCATACTCCAGAAACACAACTTCAGAAAGGCCTGTAATAGCCACTACTGCCACAAAGCTGTTCCCTTGCTTCGCCCCACCCTCCCCCATCCCCGCACTTGTGAGCCCTGGCCAGGATAAGGCGCAGTTGCACTGTAAAATCATCGGCATCACACGCTGTCATTTTAATGACCTTGCCAACGTACTGATAATGCTTGTATACAATGACCCAGATTGCCAGAACAAAAAGCTGACTAGTATTGAAGACGTTCAATTATTCTAGCGCGTTAAACCCCTCTCAGCTGTGGCCAGACGACTCCACAGAGGGAAAGAGTTGCAGCGGACACTTTTCCCAGTGGCCGGAGTACACTCTTTCCCAGGGGCATATGGTACTGTAACCAGGCAGAACCTCCTAGAATGCTGCTGGTTTGTTTTGCTGGGTAAGAGGAGTGCCGGGCATCTGGCAGCACTTCTGTATCTAAAAAGTGAACAGATTTTTTTTCTAAAGCTGAATATTACATCATGCCATAGCTGGTATGACTCCCACTTAATCACACTGGATCTGCAGGGGAAGAAAATGACCATTAAGTTCCTTTAAAAATATTACCCTAAACAAACACTATTGTGACTTTAACTAAGCCAACCTTGTTTCTGAAGCCAAGGGTCCATAAGCTTGGAAATACCATGACTGCATGCAGGCAATGGCATATCATGAAAACAGTCATCCGTTAGCTTTTGTCCATCAGAGAGAATACAAATTACAGCACTTGTGATCACGAAGGACAAGTTCATAGCCATCAGTCAGAGTCAGAAGACTGGGGACTGAGCAGAGCTCTGCCGGTTACTGGTTCCATGACCATGGACAACTCACTCCCTTTCTCCCATTCTCAGTTTTCTCACTGTAGACAATAGTGGTGATGGCCTCTTTCTTTCATAGAATTGTAATAATGTGCAAAAAAAATGCCTTATATCCCAAAACTCCCATATAAATGTAGGAAAAACCATAGATGGGCTCAAAGAAGACCAAAGCACAGCAAACCTACACACCACAGACGCCAGAGATTCTGCTGCAATGATTTAAAGCAGCAAATAAAACCAGACTTTCAAATCCATAGAACAATGGAAATGTGCCCAAACAGCTCAACAACTCAGAACTGTCAATGAGCCATTTATATGAAGGGAAAGAGGGACCCAAGGGAGCTAACCCTTTGGGAACAGGTTCTTGGGAACACGCAGTCTGGCGAAACAAAGGAACAAAATGAGCCCCGCATCATGACATTTGTTTCCTTATTCCAAAATGTCCCGGGAAAATAAACACAACTTCGATTCGAACTAGCTCTGAAGTATGACTTTGGACTCTTCTGTGATTTCAAGTTCACCTGATATGTCTCCATATGATACCTATTGGATTATGCCAATTGTTACAGAAATCAGCACAACCAAGCAAGAATTAGAGGTAATTCCAGTGGTTTTGGTTCAGCAGACAGCATTACTGATAAGTCTTAAGTTCTTAGTTTTAGAAACATCAGTCAGGTGAGAAGCGGGTTAAAAATTCCTTTTTCTTGCTATCAATAGATTCATCTTCAAAATGTGTCATCTTGTCATAACAGCCTTGCAAAAACATTGGTAACTTTCTCAAAGACATCCATAAATGGTCTACTTACTTAATTTTCCTCCTGATTAACCAAAGGTCCCTTCTGTTATTTATTAATTACTCCCGGCTCTTTCTCAACACCAGCCCTAATTTGAACATCCAACCATATGGAGCAATGTGGTGAACCCAGTTAAATTTTTTGAAGGGTTTAAGTAGGATTCCCTATGGGCTCTGCATCTGGCCGATGACCCAGAAAAGTCTCAGGTTCATGGTTCACAAGTCAGAGGGCGGTCTTCAGGCATGCAGCAGGTAGAGGGGTGAAGGTTGCAACTGGCAAAGGCAGGTGCAGGCCGCATCCAGGCAGCAGAGACCAGCACCTCTCTCCTCCCTCCCCCATCACAGCCAGTCCTCTGGGCTGCAACCCTCCCTGCCAGCTCAGAACAAACAAAAGGAGCAAACGGAGGGAAGGACTGTGTGATTTCTGTTCATAAACAACCACCACCCATGTGGACAACCAACCCTCCAGGTTGAGTTACAAGAACCAGGTCTGATAACAGCTTTATCATCACTAAGCAGGCTGTTTGGGGTGGGGCACGGGTGGAGTGGCTGTCCTGCGAAGGAAAGGAGTGACAGGAAACACCGAGGAAAGGGCCAGAAGGGGCAGTGACAGCAGTGCATTCCAGGGTAATAACAAAGCTGCGGGTCAGTGTTGTCCCCAATGCGAGGGCTGTCACTGAACTGCCATTAGAGACAAAACACAGCGCCAGTCACTGACCCTGTACAGCTTGGGCTTAGACTGTCACCAGGGGAAACCTCACCCTTCCTGCCGTGGAGAGTTCAAAAGGGCCCTGGTGCATGTCATGTGTCTCATTATACAGTGCCAAAATAGTCTCATTTGCATTTCAAGAGCTTTTACATTTACATATGGGACATTAGCATATCGTTCCACTTTTAGTCTGTAATGTGTACAGGTTTTGGAGTCTAACTGAGGGGCCACCTATGCCTGTGCCAAATATAGCCGGGTGAGCTTCGGTTTCTCCCACGAGAAAATGGGAAGAGCAATACATAGCACACGCATACGGGAGGCTTATACAAAAATAAGCGCACTTGGTTAGCGTGGCATCTGGCATGGTCCGTGCACAGTGAATGTAAGTGAAAATTCGTAGCGTTAATATTATGATGGTAAAAATTGCCAGAGCCTTGAGCTCGCTTTTCTGGCTCTGCCACTGACTGGCCCTGTGGCCCGGATGAATCTGCTGCAATGTCCTCATCTTTATAAGAAGGCATTAAATTGCACATTCTATAATTCCTATCCAGACCTACACAAATTGTTGTCCACATACTATCTCCATGTAAAAGAATTATTTTCATTAGTCTGTTATTAATATTTTGAAAGTCAGTGGATCATGGGGGTTTTCAAAGGAATCTGCAGGCTTTCAAAAATTCAGCACCTGAATAATCCAAAGGCTATTCTGCCATTTAGACCCCCATTTTATTTGTGGGTAGCTCTGTTATTGCAGAGACACCACTTCACCAGAGAGTTCTCCACTGTGAGCCCGCAGAAAGGTGAAAGGGCACCAGCAACACACTCCCTACGGGAGGACCCAGCGCGCAGCCCATGCCCTGCAGCCAAGCAGGAAGGTGTCTGGGCCACACGGCCGCGGGCTGACCCAGTGACCTCGCACAAACAGCTTGAAGAGGAACAAAGAAGTTGGAAATATTTCTTCTTATTGCATGCGCTTGGTTTTGTGAATTCTTCTACATTTTAAGGGAGAAACGGGAGGGAACTCCCCAACGCCAGACAGCCATTTTTCCAGACAGGGCATCTGAAAACACTGCCTTCCCAGACCTTTGGCTGCCCTGGGGTGACCTGGGGCAGCAGCAGCACACCCTGGGTGTTTTTCAATCCGTTCTTCCCCTACGGCAAGGGGAGGTGGCGGTGGAGGGAAAGCAGGCCTTCCTCCCAGCAGGAGGCAGAAACGGCAAGAAAACTACAACCCGAGCATGTCAGACAGGCCAGCAGTCCCCTGGGGAGGCACTTCAGGGTGCCCTGGGCTTGTCACAAGCCAAATGACTACATGGTGAGAATTTTTTTTCAGATTTTATTTATTTAGTTTTAGATAAAGGGAAAGGGAGGGAGAAAGAGAGGGAGAGAAACATCAATGTGTGGTTGCCTCTGGCACACCCCCTACTGGGGACCTGGCCCACTACCCAGGCATGTGTCCTGATGGAAATTGAACCTGCAACCCTTTGGTTTGCAGGCCAGCGCTCAATCCACGGAGCCACACCAGCCAGGGTGGTAAGAATTCATTTTAAAACAACCACTCTCTGGCCCCCTCCTCAATATCGAGGCAATCCAGAAAAAGGAACTTGTTGGGTTATCTCCCCACAACACTCTGATTCCGGAGGCCTGTCGCTGCCAGAGGTTTATATCACCGGGTCGGGATTCTGCCCTCTACCCTTTTCCTTTTCCTTTCTTCGTAAGCATTCTCTCTGTGATGGCCACGACAGGACAGACGTCCCCAAACAACAGCTCTGCTCCAGGTTGGGGCCTGCTTTGCAGCTCTCGCTAAAAGCATTGCCCAGTGAATTGGAGAAAGAACAGGTCCTCTCAGTTATCTGGGTGCCGGGCCCTCCGAGTTGATCATCAGCTTCAGGCAACACTTTCACAATCCAGGGTGAAAACAAGGAAGCGAGACTCCGAGCATCACAAAAACACCAACTTTCTCTTATCTAAAATAAGGACTACCAGAGGCAATAAAACATCTTAGCGTTAAAGTAAGGAAGGTGAATCAACTTGTCGAAGAAAAGAGCTATAAACTGTATCTTTCAATGAGCTAGAAAGCATGCCTGAAATCTAAATATGATTTCTAATCTAAATCTACATATTGTCTTATTAGTTTTCTGTACTGCAGCTTGTTATACATAGTTAAATGAGATCTTCTTCAAAAGTGACTAGGAATGGTCAAGTCAGCCATATAATAAACTCACAAATTATTTCTCAAAATTTTTTTTCAAATTTCAATGGCAAAAACTGATTAAAATCAAATTTCAACCCACTTCGATAGCTTCTCTCATTCATGACCTGAAATCTCGGCTTTGAACCTGAACACCACTGACCATTGAAATCCTGGACACCAGGAAATCAACTTGCTGTTTTCTAGATAGGAGTCAAGAAAGATGCCCCATTCATCCTTAAAATTAGAAAACAACGTTGAAAATAACAGGTTCCTTTAAAAAAAATGGAAATGGCTATTAATCACCGGCGCAAACAAAATACCTCCTTTAGTGCCAGAGGGAAACAAAAATCAAAATGAAAGATTGTCGGCGGTTTGCAGCGAACACACACACACGCACGCAAAGCTCTCCCGTTACTTACTGTGTTGTCATCACGGTGCACCCTGCCTGCCCAGCTGCCAAGTGCCAGCGAGCCTCGAGCAGCTGTTTCCTTCGAGCTGGGGCTCTGCGTCTTACCCAGTCACATGCGTCTCCTGATAAATACTGCCGCCGTGCCAGGAGGTCAGAAACTGAAGATCGTTATTCTTCTAATTCACAAACCTCCTCATAACCCCTGAGCTGGCTCAGCCCTCTCATTGAGCATGCAGAGCGGTGCATTCCACAGTGTGTTTTCTTCTAGCTCCCACCCCCAAACAGCTGATAAGTCACACTGGAGGGCAAGTGGAAAGCTGATGTGTGTGTGGGGCGGGGTAGGGGTTGGGGGTGGGGAGCCCGGCGGTCCCTCTGCTCTCTCATCCTACGCAGGTTCTCACTAGGGCTCTGGAGCAGCCAGAGGGAACCACAGCCTGGCACAGCAGGTGGCAGCTGCCTCCCTTCCCGGTGCCCTCAGAAACATCAATCTGTGACTCCATCTAGGTTTCTTTTTCTCAGCATCCCAGGCTCTGGTATGTTGGACAAGCCACAAGACTGAGTGGACTATTCTGAAGAAGGCAAACTAACAGTTTAAGAATGTTCAGGTTTACAAACAAATGACCCATGGGCATGAACAACAGGGTAGGGGGCAGAAGAAAGCAATGGGTGAAAATTGGGACAACTGTAATAGAACAGCAATAAAAAAAATGAATGCTTAGATTTAATGTCAACACAGCCAGCGCTGCTGTGCCAAGTGATGCAGAGGGGCAAATGTGTGAGAAGTTAATGCCAGTTTAACTAAAGAGCTAATAGAAATGATTGCAGGTCATTTAAAATAAACTCCTGCATCATTAGCTGTCGGATTGTGCCAACCTTTGGGGGTACAGCAGAGCTGCTGAGATTATCCCCGGAGGCACGAGAGTGGAACTGACAAAGCACGTTACAGGTGTGCTGCTGCCCCCTGTGGTGTGCTGGGACGTTGGACCCACCCCGGCTGCTCACAAGGTGACGAACCACCCTTGGTGCTTTGTTGAATTCGTACTTCTCACCCAAGCTGATTTTCCCCCTCTCCAAGGAAAACCCTTCAACTCCCTGACCTTGGATAGTACCTGACCTGGTGCAGTATCTGACTTCTTGGTGTAGTAAACATGATACTTTCCCAAATCAGTGCCCGCACAGGGTAGCGTGCAGATAGGAGAGTCAGTTCACTTGGCAACATGAACATCTGAACAGTTTTAAAAGGTTAAAATGCCCCAGGGGATTTTTGAACCATGACGAACCTGTCGAACTGTCAACCTTGATTTTTAATAAGTGAGATCTTACTCAACAAAGGAGCCTGTGGGAGCATTTTTTCATATCTGGGTTTTGTCCTATAATTATTTACAGTGTTTATCAAACCAGAAAATTTTCCAAAATTACAGAAAAAGACCCTAAAAACTCCATCAAGCCATTCTTTCAAGGGACTAATTTGTTATCAACACATGAGAGCCCATGGTGCAAATGGAAAAATTTTTTTGCAAGCTTCAAAGTATATCCCTTTTTAAGGGTTCAAAGTTAGTAACAGAAATAAGCTACAGATATTAAAATATAATGTGTTGAAATGTACATTACCATCACATTTCTCCTCATGTGCTGATGTGACCAATCATTCAGAAACAGAAAAGGAGGCCTATGAAGAATTGAAATATTATCTTGATTTATATATACTTTGCACTTGCAGTAACAGAAACTCTGTGAACTTATGGCATCCATGCATCATTTTATTTGCCGCTGACTGTGTTAATCATGCTCACAATCCATTTCATACCACATGGTGAAGGAGAGACTTCTTGAAATCCTTCGATGACCCACAGGAATAACGGCCTCAGGACATAGAGTCTCTCACGCTATTGGCTGAGAGGGAGGGATGGATCCTGATCTCACAGACGGAGCCAACTCTCAACACTGACCAAGACCATGGACCCTTCCAACAGGCCCAAGAGCGCTGGAGAAGGCTAGACAAAGACACCCTCTTCCAGCCTTGCAGAATATTCGACCCCACCTCTCTGCCCAGACAGCCTGCAGGTACCAATCCTTTCCTTCGACTCAGAAAGAGGGGCTCTCCTCCTGCCAGTAGCCCTCAGCCCCGGGCTTGTGTCTCACCCTGTGCCCCCACCCGCTCAGGACCCCGCCTCCAACAATGCCTTCTCTCCCTGTCCACATACCCTCCTTAATACCTAATCACGCTCATATTGTTATGTCCTAAAAGCAATCACTTTTGCTCCTTTGCTCCTATAATTAATGCCCAAACCCACTCATTCCCTTCATAACTCAGCTTCTGGAGAAATACTTTTTGTCTCCATTGTCTCTCATCCCAGTTAAACCTCAACCTGCTGATGGTCTGGCTTCTTCTTCCCACTTCACGAAAACCCCAAGTCTCCAAAGACCCAGGTTTTTGGACACTTTGTGGCCTTTCTCCCCCTTGTCCTCTTGGCTGCATTAGACCCATCTCACCAAGCAGTCCTTAAATATTCTCTGGTGGCTTCTTAAAATTTTACTCCTGCCCTGGCTGGTGTGGCTCAGTGGATTGGGTGCTGGCCTACAAATCAAAGAGTCACTGGTTCAATTCCCAGTCAGGGCACATGCCTGAGTTGTGGGTCAGGTCTCTGTTGTGGATATACAAGAGGCAACCACACATTGATATTTCTCTCCTTCTCTATCTCTCTCCCTTCCCCTCTCTCTAAAAATACATCAAATCTTAAAAGAAATTTTTGCTCCTACCTCTTTCAGCTTCCTACATGGACTTTTCTCTTTCCTGCCCTTAAACACGCACAGCCCCTCCCTTCCGTCTGGTCTCTGATGTCTCTCGCACGCCTTCACTGATCACCGAATGACGTAGTGGTTTCCTAATTGGTTGCCTTGCCTCCAAAAAAAAGCCCTGTCTCTGCCTTCAATTTATCTTTGCTTGTTTGTTTGTTGTTGTTGTTGTTTTACATTTTTGTACTGAAAGCGTCTCGGAGGCCACAGTGGTATCCTAGGCACCTTGGTATTCCCAGTCTATGACTGGGCTGGAATACATTCCACGGCTGTTGCATTTCTTACTCTGTATTAGAAGTAGGTCTTCGTACGTCCACGTTCCTTCTAAGTTTTGACAATCTCAGGGAACGTTTGTGACTTACTTATTTTATATCTCACCATGGCTCATACAATGCCTGATGTGGAGGAGACACGTAGCTGAACCAATGCTGAATAAAAAAAGTGAATGACTAAAGAGGAAGATCTTCTGCCTATTCCATTAGGAAAACATACAAGTTTGCAAAAACTGATTTGACATTAGGCCGCCCAAAAATCTAAAGTAATTCCTCCCCCCAAAAGAAATTATGGCTTCGTTCTATGGCCACACTGTAATAAGACTATAAAATATTACAAAAGGATAAGTCAAAAAGGAGCCAAGCTCTAGGAAAATTTTCATAACACGCCTTTTAAAAAATTCATTGAATGGAGAAGAAATCAAAGAAGCAATTATAGGATGCTTAGAAGTTTTTTAATAATGAGAAAATCATATATCAAATATTGTGGGCAGAGCCAAAAGAGTTAATTAGAGGCAAATGGTCCCAAGAAGTTGAAAAACAACAGGCCAATAATCATGGAAAAATATAAAAATTATTGAGAAAGTGTTTCCAAGAAATGTTTTTAGTCCAAATTACTTGCACAATCAAGTTCTCTCTGATCTTTACACCACACATAATTTCCAAACTATATAAAACATTCAAGTGGACAAAAGTAACAAAAAGCTAATGTAATATCTGTGATTTAAAACAAATTGATACAGCATAATAAAGGAAGCCACAGACTAACCTCACATATAAACACAGTTTACCTTAGAGATGTAAAAACATCTCAATATTAAGGAAGGCATTAGCATAATGACATAAATAAGTCAACTGAAAAAATTTGAATTAGCACAATAGGTACTCTTAAAAAGTCTTTTGATAGAATTCAGTATTAATTTTAAAAAATTAATAAAATGGAGTTAGGAGAATTTTCTTAGCATGCTAAATTTATTTATAGCAAACTGAACACAAAATCAGAAGGAAGAAAAGGATGCTTATTGTCACTACCACCATTATTGGCACCATTCTGGGCATCTGAGCCATTCTGGGCATCTGAGCCATTGCAACCAGACAAGGAAAAGAAACTAAAGAAAAATTGTGAGAAAGCGGGAGACAAAATTATCCAGCTTGTACATGTTGCAATCATTTACTCAGTAGAATCAACTTTTTTTAATGCTTTAAATACAGAATAATTAGAAATGTCAGTGAGATGAGATTACAAAATAGACACACAAAATTCATACAATTCTCCATGTAATAGCCAAAGACTGTTTAAAAACATAATGGAAAAAAATCTCATTCATAATGGCAACAACAATAACAAAATTTCTAGGAATAACAAAAAAGTGAATAAAATATTTAAAAAATGAATAAAACTCTACTGAGAAAACATTTCAATAAATGGAGAGTTACACAGTTTTTCAGGATTGAAACTCGACATTGTAAAAGTATCAGTTCTCCCCTATTTAATTTATAAATATAATCAAATTTTGGTTGAAATCTCAAAGAGATTTTTTAAACGGGCCAAAAAAGAAATCCTGAAGTTTATTTGAAAGAATTTTAAAAAACTGAAAATGGCCAAGAAAATTTTAGAAAACAACAAGGAGGGGATTCTAGGTATGAAATAGGCTGAAACCTTCAAAAAGTGCAAGTGTGATACCGATGTCAAAAGAGGCAGAGCGTGTTGGAACAGCACAGAAAGCCCCGAAATATAGATACAGGAACTATATTAAAATGTTTACTTGTTAAATACAGTATTTAAACCCAGTGGGGGAAAATGACTTATTCAATAACTGGTTGAGAAATAAAGATGCAATTATACCTCACACTGTATGCAAAGCAACTGGTGGGCTGGAGTTAAATGTGAAAATAAAACCACATGCAAACGTGAAACAATTGTGATTTTTAAAATAATCTTCCAAATTTTAATCATGATTAAATATTTTTATCATGAATTTTATTTTAATGATGAACACTGAAGCAGAAACCATAAAGGAATTTTTAATATTTAAATAAAATATAAAAAGTATATCAAAAATAACCCTACCATAACTGAAATTGAATCGGAAATGACAAAATAAGATTAAAAAATGAAGCCTATATGGGAAAGGGTTAATAGTCTTACCATATCAATAGTATTTATAATTAACAACTGGGCAAAAGATATTAGAAGAAATATAATGGACCAGT